TGTTATGTCAGGAGTTGTGTATATATATTTTTAGTGTAGATGTGGGTGTGTACATTCGTTAAAATACATTTAAAAAATTAGTTTAAGGATATATTGGTCTGCTTTAAATGTACAGAACACACAAATTTTTTGGCCAGTCTCTTAAGAGGCTACTTTACAGCTATAGCAAACAAGTTGAGCAAAATGAAATTGCATCATATGTCCTTCAAAAGAAGTTTCACCATTTTCTGAGTTTGTTTATTATATATTATTTGTAATATATTTATTATGCAGGAAAAGGGCAGGGGGACGGGGGAAGGACAAGTAAACAAATCAAACACCCTGGTGTAAAACCAGATAAGATTTTTCTGTTTAAACTTATGATACATCCTCAACCGTGTTCTCCTTACACAATAAATAAATGCTTGTTTAATTGTATTTTAAAATTTTGAGAATGTAATTCTGTATCTAGTTTTAAAATTGGTTATCTTGATTTTTTTCCTATACTTTTTCTGATCTCATGGGACATAGGTGTTAACATTCATTACCATGATGTTGTATCTATGTTTTTTGTGACAGTTTGGAATATGATGGTTTAAAATTTCTTTAGGAAATATCTAAATTTAACTATTTGGCATATATATGTGAACAAGGAACCCTTGCAATGAAGATTTCTGCAAAGATAGTTTTTGTTAGCTGAGTGATTTTGTGGATAAGAAGTTCTGTAACGAACATATTAATAATTATAGTATAATCTGATCGATTATGTGGAACAACTGCTCTATGGAGTTGTCAGCCATAGTTTACAGATCTCTGCACTATATTCTCCTTATAACTTTAGAAACCAAGTCAAGATACAGAAGAAAAGAGGATTCTGTGTTTGGCAGGTAGGGAACAGGACACTGATGGGCTTCAGTCAAACATAAATATAGTTGTAGGGCACCAAATATTTTAAGCGTGGTGAAATTCTGTGTGATCACAGGTCACCATACAGTTCCTTTCACTAATGCAGTTAGATCAGTCTCTGTTACCTATTCCTTAGCCTACTGAAGAGTGTTTAAAAAAGAATTAATTAATTTCCAATCTAAAGGCACAGATACTTTGGAATGAGATTTTAAATGTTTATCACCTTTTAAACTAAATGGATCTTTAAGGGTCTGGAACACTTGAAATCTGCAAAGTTGTATTTTTTCTGATCTCGACTGGTTTCAAAGTCTGCCTGTGTGTAGAAGTAGAAAGAAGGAATTAAAAAAAAAAAAAAAAAGGAATCTCTTTCTATATTTAATTTAAATTAAGAAAATTTTTATCTGTCCTACCATAATATGAAGGGCTAGCTGACAATCTGGATGTGAGATATCAGGGAAGCCCCATAGCAGTATACCAAATACCATTATCATCTTATTACAACCAATATAAATGCAAAAGGAAAAGTGTAATAATCAACTAGATTTTTTTTAAAAAAAGGAAATAGCAGTATTATCTGCTTATTTAACCAATTTAAATTCACCTTTCAGTTTATGTGTGGTTTTCCTTAACATCCAATTCTTAATTTAATTGTAAACTTAATGCTATATTTATAAAAATAAAAAGCTATTGAGGAAAAAAAACCCACAACTAACTCTTTTATTTTGTTAGTTTTGATTAGAGAATATTTTTTCCTTAGATGAGAAAGGGCATAAAGAAAGATGAAATGTCCATGTGCCTGAGCAAAAGTGTAAGTAGAAAGAATTAAGTTTTTGATTTTACTTCTTCGTATTTAGTTTTGCTACAGAATGCTTATGCTGTTAATACTTTGCTTGAAAAGTGGGTTAAAAGTCATGTGTTTGAAATGATTATCTACTTAGTCTACTGACTCCTAATAACGTGCCTGCGTGCCTGTCAGAACGTTTAGCTGTGGAAGAAATACGACCAGTCCCATTACGTTTTTCAATAAATCTTTTATGAAGGAAGGGAGAGTGTTTTTATAGTGTAAATGATTTATCGATTCAATATTGTGCTGCTATTGTGCCCTTTAAAGTTTTAAATTAAATCTAATTATGAATTAACTTGATATGAAATTGAGTGGATTTTATGAAAACGGCCTTTTGTAGAACCTCCTCCCTGTCTATGCCCCCTGAGTTTTCATTATCTTCCTACCATGTGAATATAGAGAAGCTTCCATATTCCCTTGCCATTAAAAATGTGGAATATGTTTTAATTTCATTTTTCCTAATGTTGTCAGGGTTCACAGTTTGTCAGATAGCCAGGATCTGTTGCTTTTATGACTAGAATTCATAATTGCTCTTTAGAACAATACTACAGTAAACTGCTGTTGATTATATGTTTAGTGATGCATAACCACTAAACTACAATTTAAAAATTCTTTTTACATTTTTGGGGGGAGGGAGCTGTAATTAATATAAACCCTCTCCCTGTCAACATTATAGTGTATGGAAATAAATGAACATGTGTGGGACGTGTTACTATGTTTCACTATTAATTTGTGAATCGCAATTTTAACTTGGATGCAAACTAGACTAAGCATGTACGTTGGTTGCCATTTAGGTAAGAATTAAAGCACAAAGCCAAGTATATACCGATATGTGCGTATATATATTGCTGTGCCATTTGTTTTTACTTTGGTATGAAAATACTACACATATCTTCCAATTAAAAAAACACGGTTAATATGAACCTAAATACTCTCATTTTTAACTTGAATGCTGAATTGGTTTTTAGATAGGAGGCTGTCTCCAGGTCAGGAAGTTCCTGAGCTGCAGATTGCTGGAGATAGGGAGAATCCACTGGAGGAATGGCAACACTAAGCTTGCCGACCTTTCAGGGGGGCCCTTGGTACCAAGATAGGGTACTAAACTATAGATGAACCTTTTTTCTGAGTCAATATAGCTATGCTCATATACTTGTTTTGGGTTATTTTTTTGATAGCTTGCATAGACAAGGGGTGGTATAGCATATGTGAATACCACCTAACTTTTGTGTCCTGAAGAATCACAGTGGCAGTTTTACAGGAAGCCCAGCATCTCATTTAGTTTGTGTATAAAAATGCACCAGAATATTTTACAGCATTTGTGTCTCCTCTGGTATACATATAAAAAAATTACATGCCCTTTTTTGTCTATATAGTAATGAAAACAGAACAGTAAGGTGCATGTGCACACACACATACCGATGTATCTTACTCTTTAGAGGGGGTGTGCATGAGAAGTGCTTTAGCATAGGTTGACATAGAACTTGAGTGTGGTTGAGCAGCTTCCAAGAGACACACGCCCATGTGACTTCATGGGTGGCAGGGCAACGGGCAAAGGCTTTAATGTAGATACCTTTGCCTGCAGGTCAGGTTGGGAAGTAGCTCTTTATTACCCTACTGCTGTCAGTGCAGCTTCTAGCTAACAGCCAGCTACTGGACCTTTTCAGAGCAACCTTTTCAATTTGGTGCTAGAACTGAGAGCATTTATATAATAAAACATGGGTCTTGGTGTGCAGGCAAAAACGATTAAGTGGTTCACAGATGCTGGTGATTGCTGCCTGGTAGCTAATGTCTTCAGCTGGCACCATTTGGCTCTGACCAAGGCACACAGGGCTGTTCAGGGTAGGACTTTTATTGTGTATTTTGTTTCAGTAGAAAGCCATTTAGGTTCGTTAAAACAGCAAGCGCTTTTGAAGGAACCTGTTTAGTTTCCAACTGGAACAGCAATTATGCTGTACGGTCGTGATCTCCAAACTTTTTTGGTTGTGCACACCTATCAATAAAATTCCCATATGAAGCTTATTGTAACTAAACATTTTTCATAATTAAAAACATTTATTAAGTCAGCTTAAGTGCTTTTATTTGGATACATGCGCTTGCTTAAAGACGCCGTACATTCTGAGTTGAGATTGTGAAATAAAACCCATGAACTCACAGCATTCCTGGCATTTAAGAGCATTTCTATCAAGTTTCTTCTATTTAATAGAAAAGTGATGGATTATTCTTTTTTAAATAAACTGAAATGATGACTGGTAACATGACAGAAATAGAAGGCAGATAATTCATGTTGTCATATGGAAATGGAAGTAATTTTTCTCGTATCCCTAATTAAGATAATATAGTGATTTTTGCTTAGAAGAATGCTCAGTCAGAGGAACAAATGAAATACTTAGAAATTTGGTGGGTGGCATGGGTGTGGAGAGAATGACATGCAAAAATTGGAAAGCACGGCCTTTCTGTCACTTGAAAACTTACTCAGTTAATGAATTTGTCAAAGAACGTGTGGAATTTGAGAAATGAGAGTATTTAGTGATATTATTAGTTTTGGCCATGAAAAAAAAAATTTGTAATTGAATAGTAAGCACTGGCAAGGACATTGTAACAACTTGCACAATGTCATAAACAACTGCAAGTTTATCTGCAGTGTACCTTTCTTTTTTTTAACCGGAAACGTAGTGGTTCATAAGTTTGAGGGATTTTTTGAGAAATATGAAGTAGTTTTCTTGTGAAGAGACTGTTTTAGATTCTAAATTCATTGGGTCAGGCTGGAGATGACTTTATAGATAATTTTAGCTGTAATGTTAGTGGAATTTCTATAAGAAATTGAATTATATTAATATAAGTAGGGCAACCAAACATTCTTTTGTGAAATAATTATTTCTGTATTTGAGGTATGGTTGATCATAAATCAGCTAACACTGATGTGAAAGGATCTCATTCTATAATCCACTTTAAATGCTCCCTGTTTCACATTTTTAGATAGTAAATTGAAACATTGTCCTGTTAAACTGCTGTCTCGGAGAATTTTATTTTAGGAACACTGATACATGACTTCCCAGATGAGTTTTAACAAGTTGAACTACATCTAGAAGCTTTTAGAGAATTCAGGCAACCATTGGAAAGTACTCCTGTTAATTAACTTCATTACCAATTTCAAATAAGGTGTTAATTTTCTTTTCTAAAGCTCTGAGAAATGTTAACTTTTTGTAAGAATGCTCACTTTTTAGTTTGAGTTTTCTTCCTACCTATTAATTAAAGCATTTCTGTTTTCAAGGGAACAAAAGAAATTGAAGGCGAAGAGGAGTCTGGTTTAATTCCGCCTGCGGAAGTATTTGCTCCTAAAAGTCTGGTATTGGTGTCCAGATTGGATTATCCAGAAATTTTCAGGGTAAAGAACTTGCAGTTGCCATTTATAATATATGTCAGCAGACAAATCTGGTTTTAATGAGTAGCAGTGACAGTACTTTTGATTTAAAACATCTCAGGATTGATTTGGGAATTTAAAAGCAAAAGTAGGCTTAGTTTGAACTAGATAAAGTTTAATGTCTGTGACAGTAAATAGCCCCTATAGGTTAAAGTAGTGCCTTTTTTACCCTCCAAGCAGTTTTAAATCTACGTAGAAGATGAAATAGAGATTTTTCTGGGCTCAATTTACTGTGTAATGAAGGGAATTATTAGGACAAAACCAGACTTGCTCACGTAAAAGAAAAGACATTAACAATATTTGAGTAAATATATAATGGTAAATTAGTAGCAAAATCGTAGTTTTCTTCCATATATAAGGCAAAATGTCAGAGGCTTTTCCAGATCAAATTAAGATGCATGACAGAGATTTAGGATCTTGGATTACTATCAGCTGATGAAATATGACTGATCTGAGATAAATGAAAAGCTTACAGTTTTATTAAGCTAATATATATTAACAGAAACAAATGTAGTTCAGTTTCAGATCAAAGGAGGAAATCATTCAACAGTTAAGTTGTCATTAGACATTAAGAATGACTGTACGAAGTCATTGTAAGTCCATGTAGCCCAGTATTTTGTCTCTGGTAGTGGCCCATAGCAAATGCAAAGCAAAGTGTGTAAGAATAGGGCAGCCTGTAGAAATAATTCCACAAAATACTTTACCAATTCAGTGCAAAGTGCAGTTAAATGACATCCTGAACCAGAGGTGTCGGTTGTGTAGGTTTCTTCATATAATTTGTTCAGTTTCTTAATGCTCAGATTTTACAACAACCCATGGCAAGGAGTTTCACAGCTTAACTATGTGTTACATGAAAAGTTACTCTTGAAATTATGTCTGAGAATTCCTAAAATATTGGCTAATTTATCAAAATTACATCAGTTAAAAGGCACCAAAAGGATGCTGTGAAACAAAGTTATTTATTTCCTTTTTTCCAAAGGCTTCTTAGAGTGTAATGTTGAATCATCTTACATTAAATTACTAGTAAAAATGATAAAGCGATACCTATAATTTCTCAATCAAAATTGGATCCATGAAAAAAAAATGAAATGCTGAAGTGTTAATACACTGTTCATTTTAAAATATATTTGTATTGAGATAATAGAATAACGAGTGTAAGTTAAATAACATACGGAATTGTTGATCCTTGATGCTAGTCTTAAAATGAGCCTCAAAAGCTCATGGATTCATCAGTGGTCTACTCTGGAAAACAGCCAGGTTTAGGTCTATAGAGTTCAAAGCACAAATGAAGATATGTTAATTTTACCATTTTTTAAAGTAACTTGTAGTAAAGCACTTTTTGTATAATGAACAAAGCACAGATATTAAACATTTAATTTCTTCTAAAAAAGAATATATGTACACCTGCCAACACATACATCCCTTCTAAATAGCCAAGCTAATTTTTTCAATGAATGATTGCTTCTGTAGCAAATTACTTTGTCTTCAGTTGGAAAGTACTTCACTACATGAATAACTATTAAGACACACTTATTTTTAAAAAAACTGTATACATAGATCTTTAAGTAATTTGACACCTTCCTTGCCCATATAGCAGTCTAATGTATTTTGTCTATCTCTCTAGGCTTGCCTTGGCCTGATCTATACTGTGTATGTGGACAGCCTGAATGTGTCACTGGAGACTCTCATTGCAAATCTGTGTTCATGCCTTGTCCCTGCTTCTGGAGGGTCTCAGGTAAATGGGGAAAAAGGGTATTTTTCCAGTTAATTTAATTTATGAAGAAAACAAAAAATAAATTCTTGAAATATTTTTGAAGAAAAAAAGATCATAGTTCAGCTGAGTGCTTTCCCTGTGGCCTGTGAGTGCTTTCCCTGTGGCCTGTCTTCTAAAGACAGCAAAAATTCCATTCCAGGATAAGGTCAAAGGGTTAATTTTGTCACTGAGGTGGCTTTTCACAAGGCACAGTTACAAATCAAGCAGTTTGTATAACTTTAGGTTTTCATAATAATGTGTGTTCAGGAATATTTCTGCTTGCTACAGGAAGCTTGCTTGCTTTGCCATTTTTTAACATGTCCTTCATTTTAGTTCATTTACCCATGTTTTTTCCTTGATGGAGTTCAGGATTCCACTGATCTTTTCTTTGGTAACGCTTAAATTTCTGTTTTCATAAAATTCTTTAAAAATAGCTAAAAAAGGAACTTGAACATGTTTTTTTCAGAGGTAATTAAATATTCCAGTTAGCCTATGCAGTCAAAGATAAGAAAGAAGTTTTCCAGCAAATACACTTCTTCCTGCTTTTTACCTATGCTTTCTGTGAGCAGAAAGTCAGGTTTGTTTGTTGATTTACTTTAAATAAATTATTTCTGCATATTTGTGGATTTCTGACAAACCAGTTTTTTGCTTGGCTTTGCTTTTGCTTATTTGCTTTATGCTGTGACACTACTGGGAAATTGTAGTCTTTACCATGAAACACACCTGGAAGCGAAGTATGCAAATTATAATAATTTAAAGTCAATTTCATAGACATTTTCTCACACTTCCCACCCACCCTATGGATTATCAACCTTGAAATCCTACAAACCCTAATTCTTTTCTGTTTTTCCCATAGCCCTGGCTACTTTGGAATTTCTCTTAGTGCTATAACTGGCAAAATGTCCTCTCAGCTTAGTCAAGATCTACCTTATTTCTCTCCAGGCAACAACATCTCTGTGCTTTTGCATCCCAAGCCTTTTGATTTTGAAGGGGAGTAATTAGATTGTATCTCCTCATCAGAAACCCTCATTTCCAGTGGTGTTTGAACCTCATATTACACGTTTTGGTGATCCACTTGAACTTCTGGCTCCTCTTCTATCCTCTTTCACCCCGCCATATGGCTTTCCCCAGTGGCCATTTCCTCTGTTAGAGGACGGGGTAGAAGTTGTGCTCCTTTGGCTATTCTCCCTTCTGCTTTCTCTCTTCAAATAAAATGTTCTTTCGGTTTGAACTTACATTTGCTGTGTCAAACTGTTATTTTAATAAAAAAAATAAGTTTTTCTCTTCTCTTTCTTAAGCTTCATGCTTCCAGGGCTAAATCTGAATTATTTGTCTTAGAATGGGAACAGTTTTCTGATGTTTATCTCCAGAAGTCCTTGAGGAGCCTCCCAGGTTATTCATGTGTCCAATGTTGAAATAATCAACTGCAAAATTAGTTATTGACCTGCATCCAGTGCTAAAGTGCTGGAGAAGAGCATCTCTGCTACAGCTCAGGGACTTGGTTTTAGTGTGGAACATTTTGGTTTCAAACATCCACTGTGCAGCAGCCAGAGCTAGCTGCCTTCATACATTCAACGTCTCTGCTGCCATACAGAGTGGAGTTGTACCACACTTACTGCTTGTACAGAAATGCCCCCCACTCCATGGTAGTTAGTGGTTAAAGGTAACTGTTCGAAATCACCTGCTGCTTGAATGTCATGTGGATTTACTTAGAGGAAAGCAAGGTTATTTTGCAGTTACAATGCTTTTTGGGATGTGATCCACAAGTGCATTCCTTTCACTCCTATTTCCTGCCTCCCTCAAGGGACATATTTTCTTGTGCTGGAAAGGTAACCAAAGTTTTAATTCTGCTTTAATATGCAGAGCAGGAGCATAGCAGTAGCAGAAGTGTCCTCTTCAATACCCATATATCACCAATACGTTAATGCTTACAACATGCCTGCAGACAGTAGATACTAAAGAACTTCAGTTAGAAAATAATATATATTTTTCTGATTTGAATGGGTTTTAAACTGGGGATTTTTTCTAGAATTTTTTTAATGTATTATTAAAAGTGTAGTATTGAATGCCTTTAAAGCCATAACTATTTAACTAATTTAGTGGAAATGCAAGGAAGGCATTGTCATGCTATACATTCAAGGTGACATGTCATTGTCCTCAGATTGTATTTCAGATATCTATTGGTAAATTCAGTTATTCTTACTGACTTTAAACTTCTGTATACAAAATAAATAATTTTTTCAGGATTAATCGCTTACCTGTATGATAACAGCTTGTTTGATCTTTATAAATTAAATTTATACTCCGTAAGAAAAAAAAATTCTTTCTACAGAAATTGTTTTCTTTGGGAGCTGGAGACCGGCAGCTGATACAGACTCCTCTACATGATAGCCTTCCTGTTACAGGCACCAGTGTGGCTCTTCTCTTTCAGCAGCTGGGTATGTCTTGGTCTACTTTCAAAAAACCCTATTTTTTTTAAATTACAGAATGAGGTATTTTCTGTTCTCATTCAGTTTGAATCATGTGCCAAGAAAGCTGCACTGTAAATACTAATTTCTTTTGAACGAAAGAATGACTAATAGCGCTCTTATCTCCTAATCAGACATTCCTATAACGTTTTTGCACATCCTGCCTGTGGTAAGTTATCTCCAATATTGTCTAGTGTTTGTAAGTGTACTGTGAGCAGAAGTGAACCTGGCCTCTGTTTAATTACAAAAAAATTAATGTCAAAAGATTTCCTATGCCTTGCATACTGTACAAACTCCAAACAAAACCAAGGAGGTTAATAATAAAACTAGTGTAACTGAAAAGATTAGTAGAAAAGATTCCGTGTACCGATCCTGATAACTATGTGGAATTTGTTATTCTGTTATCTATTATTTTCTGTCTTTCAAGAAGATGATCTAACAGAATCCTCATCAAATGCTTACTTGTTCGTTACCATTACAACACCTTGTCATTGTTACTTGGATACCTCAAGACTAATCTGGTGTGTCTCATTAAATTTTCAGTCAATTGTCTTTCTGTTGGTTTGTGAAGTGACTTTGGAGCATAAACTTGTGGCAGCCATGGATAAGGGTGCAACTAATAATCTTCTCTGAACCTGTGAACATCGTGCTTAGTCTCAAGTAATCAAATGGCCTCAGAATATGTGTTGTCATCCATACTTCTCATAAATGGATGATAAGAATGGATGTAAACTGGAAAAAGAGTAGTGAAGAGGAGTAAGAGCTTATGTCACAGGAAGCAGTATCAGATCTGATGAGCACAATGCCATCTACTACTGATAGGATTTAATTCTATCCTTCCAAAAAGAATATTATTCCAAAAGGAATATTATTATTTTATGGGTAGCAGTTTAAGTTAAGAAACGCAGCTAACGTGGTATAAATGCTAGTTACCCTCACCACAGTCCCTGAGGTTTTACTTGGCTTATTATGTCAAGATTCATTAAGGTTACTCTGATCAGATTGAAGGCAGTGTTTTAAATTTGGATAGGCCCAACAATGTTTTCTCTTTTCTAAAGATAAAAAATGTGGTGTGAGGTACCTTAAGTATGGTATGATATAGCATGTGGTATGGTATGTTTGTTCTCTAAGTACAGTATGTGGTACCTAAGTTGAGGCAGTTTATTTTGGGTGATTGTAGTGAAGGTTGCTATAAATTCACAGCTCTGAAAATGCCAAAGAAAGCAAGGCTTTTAGCTTGTGCTTAGATAGGTTAGCTACCATGTCTTGTGGCACTTGGCTTTTGTACGGCAAATTGAGATTGTAGTGTTTTGTCACAGGATGAGTCTGAGGAAGACCACGAAGGCAAATGATCTGGAAAGTCATTGTATGCATCAGATTTATAGAGGGAAACTCTGTAAAGACAGAGTGGGAATGTAAATATGGAAGAGGAAATGGAGGAACATCTTTTCCTCTTGGATTTTTAGTAAAAGCATGTTTGCAGAGTGAGCTTTTTTTGATTCCACTGACTGTGTATAAAACTTAATTATAAAACTTCCATATGGGAATTCAAAATTGCTTTCACGTACATAGAATTTAAGTTAATATTATTAACCACATTTTATTAATGGGTAAATATATACACAGATGGATGTCATGTCACTTCCTAAACATACTATAGCAGAGTACTGAAGAGTTTGGAAAGTAACCAGGATTCCTAGATTGTTGAGCTAGGAATCAATGATCCTTTCCCTTTATATTTTGAAATTGTGTAATTCCTTATTAGCTCGTATACACTTTCCAGTATCTATACCCCTGATTTACTCTTTGTCTACCATCTCATCTTTCTTTTCCCATTCTCCATTAGCCTTCTTGCTGTAAATAGTGTGGTTTCTATGGCTTTGCTGCTCTTCTGCCTTCTTTTCTTCCCCTGAGTTCCAGTAAATGTTTGGAAGTCCAATCTTTCTTGCTTTTTGGTGGCTTGTAAGATGTACAAGTACAAGTCAGTCAGCCCATGCTTATCAGGTGCCCTTTCCGGTTATGATGCACAGAAGGATGTGAAAATCAGCAGAAGGAGGAAAAGAGAAATGGAGATATGGGATGAAAACTGGCTCATAGCTTACAATTCTGGTTAGTGACACTTCAGCTGGCCCGAAGGAGAGATACTGAAGAAAGTATGTGGTTATAAAACTTGACAAATCCGCAAAGAGAAGCTATAGGTTTACATCCTGTTTCCCTGAAGAGATTATACAAGTTCATAGGAAAAAAAAAAAATTTTTTTTTCTCAATACCCTTTCTTTTCTGTTATGATACAATTTTCTCTTTTACAAGACTGTCAAAATTATTAGGAAGAGCTTGTGTAATGGTCTTGCATAGGTCCTCTTCTTGTCTCTCTCCTATTCTTTTGTTTGATGAGGGCAGTTGGTTGGGAACAGGACTGAAATTAGTTAAGAAGTAGGCAAATAAGTTCACAGGTAGATTTTTTTTTTTTTTTAAATTATTTTTTTAGCAAGTACTTGAACCCTTTAGCACCTTTAGGCTTATAGCACAATGGTAGAATTGTCTTGCATCTGTAAGGACACAAATTAAAAAATGTTAGCATTTTCACAGTGTACATCCCTCTACAGAATAGCACATAGTTCCTTTCACATGTAGGAGGTGGACTGTCATCATCATCTTAAGGCCAAGCTTTGTTAATGCTAAATTCCTGTTTGGATTTACTAAAACAGAGTTGTTAATGTAACTACATATGTCTGTTTGCAATGGTTATCAAATATAAAAAGAGGACCTGGAAATATGAACAGACTGTTTTACATAAATTCTCATTTATTCTCACTTTTAATGTAGTCTTATGAAGAGTTGAAGGCAGTGAGTCCAGAAGGATGTGGTAGAACCTATTAGCTCATCTCTTTGGAAGAGTTTATTTTTCTAAGATAAGGCCTAATCCTTTCCTCTGGAGATCGTAGTTGAGCTTGTCAGAAGTGTTGTGCTTTTTGTAATAATATTCACACTTGCTCTCTTTTTCCTGTTCCGTTTGAATGGGAGCTTAATGCGTATTTGTCTCTACCAGCCTGGGCAAAAAATGTTCTACTACTGTTATCCAGCGTGGTGTTTGCAAAAGCGTTCTACTGCTGTTGTCCAGTGTGGTGTTTATTAGTTACTAATGACAGCTGTTATCCCAGCAAATGCTTGTGTTTAGGACATAAATATTGAGTAGGCTGTTTGTCAAGTAATGACATATTCAGTTGTTTCTCTTCTGGTACGAGTCACCTAATCCTATTTAAATTATGAATAGAAAATTGAAGAGTAGCTAGAAAAATATTTGTGAACTGTATAAATCACCTTTTCAAAAATAGCTCTTTCTTTGAGGAAGATGAGCAGAAGGACCAAATTTACCACTATGAATAGATATGAAAGTAATTTCAACATTTATTTTGAGAAATATTGTGCAATAGTAGTCTCATCATGCTTTTTCTGCTTGGCAGGATAATACTGTGTCAGCGAATGACCCTCCCTGTATTACCAAGTTCGCAACATATCTGGAAATAGACCTTATTTTTACTTAGGCGTTAAACTACAGTTGGGAAAAACATCCCCAAAGGTTTTAGGCTTAATAATAAGGAACAGCAGTGTTTGACATTTTAAATCATGCATTCTTTTTTTATTTAAAAAAAATTAATATATGGGAATAATGTGACAAAAGCCAGGCCTGTAGCTGGATTGCTACAACTAAAAATGGTTTAATCGACAAGGATTAGTTAGAAAAACAGTAAAAGTTACTTTTAAAAATGATCTGTGGTAGCTAGAAGACTTTCAGTGCTCTTCTGTTTCTCGTTGTCCATTAGTAAGATGGTAGCTATCTATACAAACTTCAAAACATGGTAGCCTTCTTCAGGCTCAGAGGAGATTATAGTTCTGTTTCTCCTCTCTCTTCTCCCTCCCCCCTTCTTTCTCCTCTCTCTCTTTATTAACACAGTATATCCCTGTGTTTCTGCCTTAAGCTCTTTTCATTTCTCCAAACTCCAACCCTACTTGCGTTCTCCATTCTGCTGGCAGTACAGTTATTCAGCATTGCCACATTCAGTCATTTCTGTCTGAAACATACACCTCTATCTCCCCAATGGGCAGTTTTTTCCACAGAACCTAAGACACAAAATCATATTAGGGACCTGAACAGCAAAACAAGAAGCTAAGGTTTAACCACCACTTTTAATTTTTGCATGTTTCAAGGACTGGTAGCATGAATCACACTGCTAAGCTGAGCATAACAATTTATTTTCCTGAAGAATTAATGTTTCCTCCTGCTTTTCAAACACATAATCAAAGACAAAAGAGTTTTCCTTTATTTTCTTCTTGTTTAGTCAGTTATCTGGGCTGTTTTCCTATCCCCTTATTTCCCCAGTTCCATTTAGTTTGTCTGTGCTGGTTTTCCTCCTCATATCTTTGATTCACCACTCAAGTGTTTTCAGTAGAACTCAGACTGACTTTGTGTTATGAAGAAAGTAATTTTTTTCAAGTGGCAAAAATGAAACTTTGAAGTAAATTCTACTTTGAATCTTCTGGATGGAGACACAAGGTAACAGTGCTTTTGAATTCAGGGCTGTGTAGAATAGAGATTAAATAGATGGAACAGGATGAAGGTGAATGATAGTTCTAGTTTGACCTGGGCTGATTGACAAGCTTATCTTTCATTTGTCCAATCCGTGATGTAACTTAATCCGTGATGTAACTTATATCAAAATGTTAAACATCATTATCCTTCACCCTTTTTACATATCTTAAAATATTTTTGATCTAGAAATTGTGTGTATATCATTAGGCAGTATATGAAGCCTCTAAAACAAGTACTTGAAAAATAATATATTTGAAGACTGCAGTGTCATTAAATATCAGTAATTCCAGATGTCAGAAGTGATTGGTTGATTAACTTCTAAACATTGTTACAGTTGCACAAAATCTGAATATTAGGGCAGATCTGTGTCATGATGGCA